TTTTTTTTTTTTTTTTGTAATTTCAAATTTCTGTTTTTTCGTTTTTCTGCAACCCCCCTCCCCCTCTCCCCCCTCCGGGGAAAAAATATTTTTTTTTATATATTTTCAGTTTTAGTTTTTTCATCTTTCGATTTATAAGTTCCAAAGTTATGAGTTCGGAGGTTTATGTGTTTGGAAATTTATGAGTTTAGAAATTATAAAGTTTACGGGTTCAAAATTTTGCGGTTTCGAAAGTTTAGCAGTTCGGAAGTTTATGAAATTTGTGGATTCGAAAGGTTGTTGGTTCGAAAGTTTATGACTTCATTATTATTGTATCTAAATTATTTATGAATACTCTTGAGAAGTTATTTTTCTTAATTTGCGTACCAAACACCGGAAAATGAATAAGATTACTACTTATTTTCCAAGAAAATTTTTTCTTGGAAAATATTTTCCACGGAAAACATTTACCAAACACACCTTAAGTTGTGTTATTTTGTTATTTCCCTTTCTTTGTGCGGGTGAAGAAGGGAATTAGATTCGGGTATGTGTTAAATTAATGGGTGGGTTTTCAAAGAAAATCAGGTATCTAAAATTGAGAGTGAGTTATTTGTTTTTTTTAGCTTGCCACGTATTTTCCGCTTAAATTAGGGGCAAATTAGTGCCCATAGTATAGTGCGTAGGAGCATAATTAAACCGATACTCAAACATATGGTATATCTAAACAATTTCGAATAGTACATGAATATATTTGACTCTTTTTCGTTACTATAATAATTGTAGAATCTCAGATACCGGAGATAAACTAGTTGAGGAGAGGAAGTGGAATTGGAAAGAAAATAACAAAACATGCACCTTCAAGAGTCGTGATCGATATTTAGCAAACTCTACAATCTATTTCACAACCCAAAATTCTACTAAAGGTCTTGATGGCACCTAACCTGCTTGAGAGGCAAGCCAACACTTAACAACGACAATAAAAGCCTTAAGTAATTACCAAGGTTATTATATAAATATAAAAGTGGAATAAGTCTCAAAATAAAATCATGAATACATAACCAAAGACAAGGTATAAACATGACCAAAAACTGTCTCACAAAATACCCAAAATCCGATGGCATATTACTACGAGCATCTAACAACAGTAAAATATCTCAGCTGAATAACAAAATTTGTCTGGAAAGAAGTGAATAGATAGAAATGGATAAGTAGGGAAGGGGACTTCATGTGTTGTGGATTGAATCAAGTAAAGCAGCTCACCACGAATTCTTCAATAAATGCTCCTACTCCACTGTATATGTACCACAAGTACCCGCCTCAGAATCTACACAAAATATGCAAAAGTGTAACATGAGTACGAAATCACGATACTCAGTAAGTATCAAGTCTATCCTCAAAGAAGTAGTAGCAAGGGGTTGATATTGACACTTACCAACAGTCGAATAATCAGGTGAAAGTATCAATGATATATGAAGTAAAGTATGATATCGTTAAATATGTATGAAAGCCAGAAATACTATACATGTATAATTTAGACATGATTTGCAGATAAAGAGATTTGATCAGATATCAAATACTTCAATTGTCGCACAAAGACATGATGTTTATCAACAAACAACTATATAAAGCTACTGCATGAGCCCAATATATATATATATATATATATAAATGAATGCTAATG